TATATAGAACATTTTACTTGTTACAGTGATAAGTGGTGGGGCTTCACCCCATACTGAATAATAACTCTATAAACCTTTTTAAAAAAAAAAAACCTTTATACGAAAAATTGATAAACTGCGCGCGACTAACCGATGATTTCACGTAATAAAATAATATAGAGATTATTTTAAATCCCTTCGACAAAGTAAATTATGTTGTATTTCTCAATTGGACATATTTGTCAAGTTAACTTCATAGTTTATATTTTCTAATGCACAATTAGTAGTGTCCTACTGCACCTTACAATAAAGGCTGCTATACAGTAAATACTTATAAATATATTTATGGTACACAATAACGTTTCTTAAGCACTCAGAGTTAAATCTATAAAAATACTAAGCCTCAAAATTATATAAATTAAAAATAATTAATCCACTTACTTTCAGAATTTGGATCTCCGACTAACAATTGACCATCTTTGCTATCAGTCACCTCAGTAGGTGTACTTTTGCGAAAAAATGAATCTAATCGATACATTTTTCAGCACATTTTTTAGCACAAGTAATTTCTTGTTTTTTTTCACGATGTCTTTCTGCCCCTCCTTTCCTTTTTTTATCCACAATTTAATATTATCGTATGAGCAATAATTAAAAACTTAAATGTTCATTAAAAAGCTAAATATAAAAATGTGAAAAATGGGGTTGAACGACACACTCATCACCAGTGCGCAAATATTAATAAGTAGGTATAACACTTGGCAATCATAGTCTTAACCACAACACATCTGTTTGTGAAGATTTATTTGGGTTTATTAAAAATATTATAAAAATAACAATAACCATTGGGATCAATATTACAAAATGATGTATTATTTAGATGTAATATTAGATATTATTCAATTAAAGCAATTATATATCGGCGTATTGCTATATTCTTCGCCACTCTACAGATATACTACAACTAAAACTAACAATTACAACCTACAACTTTCAGGTTTCAACGGTCGTCTAATCAGTAATTTACAATTTCTCAATAATTAGTTCTGCTGGATTGTATTCTAGATTTGAGATAATACGTACACTTCTCAGTATTCGGATATTTAATTATAAAAATAACCAATCGACGTGTTGTCGATTTTTATTTTATTTGATGTCTATATTTAAGAAATATTTTGTAATTTTATACCTGATGACCTATACTTTATCATATTCATATGGAACTATTAAAATGTAACACAATTGTATTAATAATTTACCAAGTAAAATAGTTTCATAGTTTTAATAAAAAAATATTGTTAACGCATTTACTAATTTTGTCAATAAAATCTAATATAAGATTACCAGGCCACAAGGTCATAATATGGTCCAGGCCATCTGGAAATTTCCCAATTCCAGACCGGTCACTCCGCCCCTAGGGGATTATGATTACTTCTATTAGTTATTATCAGACAAGTAAATAAATAATGACAGACACGGAATCTAGAGAATGTGCCAAGATTTTTTTTTTTTTTAAAGAATTCGCGTCTCGATACAAGTATAAGTAGAAACTGATAATCTTCGATTTCACGTATTGACTGTACGTGTAACAATATCAAATGCTTCGTCAGTTTTTTTTTTTATTTTGATTTAAAATACATTGCAACATGTATTTTAATAAAGTTTACGAGTGGAACTTACTTTTAGGAGAAAACAATACTCCCGAAGGCGTTTCGTAGATTTTTTTTTTTAAAAATTAAGTTTAACAAAGTTACAGCCATTTGAAATTGATAAAAAACTCGAATATTTCAAAACGATGTAGAGAATGTATTTCTTAAAACAACGGAAAAAAAGCTACGATACGCCCTAGGAAATATTTTAAGTTAATTATTTTCATAAAAATTTGATTTTTTTCTATCAAGTGCAGCCACTTAGTCGGCGACGGCCGTGAGCTGTCATTTTCAGCTCCCACTCTAACGCAACCATTCAATGTATCGGATATTTAAAAGTAGAAATTATTGTATCCAACAGTGATAATAAGGGCTGGTATTTTCATGCTCAAGAAAACCACAATTAAAAAAAAAATGCAAAAATGTTTTTAAAATCTTAACAAATGAACTTATTACAGTTTTAGATTCTATTACACTTTCATGTTACCATTTATTTTTCATAATATCATAAAATAGGTACCTATCTATTTTAAGAATAAAATAGACACTTATTTAATTTAATTGTATTAAAATTTAATTTAACTTGCTGTTGAATGATTGTCATTGGTAAGATAATGACTTCTGTAAACAAGAAAACTTCTTTCCAAAGTTTTAATTACTCAATCTGAAATCAAAATTAATTTATTAGTTTACTAATCTTTTACTTTTTTTTTTTTTTTTTCAATCATTGACTCCAAAACTATTACTGTTGCATTGAATAATTATATGTTGTTTTTCAAACAAGAATAATTGTTATTAGTAAAATAAAAAACTTTTCAACATCAACTAACGGCTGGAATATATTTAAAATATGAAATATAATCCACATCAAATTGTTCTAATTATATTTTTCTTTGGTTTTATTATCATTCATGATTTCTGATATACTAATGATTTTATAAATTTGGGACGTGTATTATACTTATTATCTAGTGTAACACTAGTGTGCCTTAAGTTTTTTAATAAATGCTTATTTTGCCACTACTCGCAGCAGTAATTAATATAAAGTGTTTATTTTCATTTTGTTGATTTATTTATTATTATAATAAAAAAAATAATCAGCCAAGTAGGCGACCATCAAAGAAATGAGAGTACTTTTGAGCTAAAGGTACTGTAATGAAAATGAAAGGTAAGTTATATTTCAACAGTTTTTGTAACAAAATTCACTGTTTTATCAATGTATTAATATAAACTATATTGGCACCCAATACCATAACGCAAAGAGACTTCACACAATTAGAAATCACTTCACATTAATATTGACACATAAGCTTAATACACAAAATACTGATATACAATTTGTTAGCATTTTACCAGTGAAAAAAACAAACACAATCCATGTATTATTTATAGACAAGTTTATATTACAAAATGACAATATAATTTGTATTTTATTTTATAAAACAAATCTGGCAAATTAGCTTAACCAACAAACAAGGGTATAATTACATAATATTGTTTAAAATTATACATAGAAATGAGAAAAAATGAATTGTTTATAAATTTGAAACACATATCTGTTTTTGTGTTTGAAGTTAGGATTACAAAATTATAATAAACTTAACAGTAAAATTATGTGGTAATAATAATTGTTTTAATACTTTTTTGACTGTTATGACTCTAATCAAACGGTCCACGAATGCAATGTACAAAAATAACTAAAATTTGTTATATTAATATACATAAATTGATCATTTAAACATTTATACATCACAATGTACCACATTTAAAAGTCAAATAAAATAATTGGGCTTTTTTCATAAAAAACTAGTCAAGTGGGCGGACCACATTTTTTTGCTTCAAAATATAGACCATTGCAGTTTTAATAGTTGTGAGTTATAACTATTGAAATTTAATTGACTGATTTCTGTTCTTTATAATGTTACCAAACCAAATTTGAAAAAATGCACACTGAATAATGTATATCTGTCGTTCATTAAATGAATTAAGTTAGGTTGTTGAAAAAAGTAGTAACTAGTATAATAGAGACATCAAAAAGTTCCCATGAAAAAATACATTAATAATAACCACATTAATTAATAATTCAACAAGGATATCACGAATTACATTGATACATATATTTTAAGACTAACATGAAATTAATAATTAGTTTTATATTTAGAGTAAATTAACTGAAAATTCCCTGAAGACCAAACAGCAAGATATTGTCATTTATATATTACAAGCCAACAGCCAAAGTGAATGTAATATTATATGCTAAAGCATAAATTATTACAAATTTTCTGATACATTAAAAATAACTAGAAAATTTACTATAAGAATTAATGCAGCAATTAAATGTACAATATGTAAAATAAATTTAAATCATAAAATGAAGCCTTTGATTTATAAATTTAGATTATTAATTATTTTTTAATTTATGATACAAATAATAAATTCGTTATTCTTAAAAGAAGCGTGGAACAAATTGATTTTAGACCTTCATTTTCATTGAAAGAATATATCACGTTGTTTTATAAGAGTTATTTTAACAAGGAACTATCATACTTAACACTTGGAAATTTATACAATCTATTGTCACTTCAATCAAGAATAATAAACAAGATTTTGGACATTTTTATATATTTAATTAAAGTTTGATATTAGTTACTAGATGATAAGTTAAATTGGTCAAATCATAATAAACTACTATATAGATCAGTCGACAAGGGAATTTAATCATGAAAAATATTTAATAAACATAAATTGTTAAATAACTTGTCAAATTATTCATAATAAATAGTAGAAGTAACCATTCATAGAGATTAGATTAAGTTATAATATTAAAACATTTTCTTTTGTGAATCAATGATTTATAAAAATATAGATATTAATTTATATAAATCAATCAATATTAGTTGCAATTGGATTGTGAAATAAAATTTTAGATTACAATTTGAAGCTTATTCATCAACTTTGTACTATTTAAAGCAATGTATACAATTATGTAACAAACACCATTGTCATTGTGGTGGATGTAGATAACCCAAATTAAATCCCACTACTAACAAAGCATTACAATGGGAAATAATTGTAGTTCAAAATTGCAATTATTTGACAGTGCTAATATTCAGATTAATAATCAAAAGGATAATTATAAAAAACATTGGTAAAACCATCAAATAAATAAACAGAGAAATAAACTTAAAATATTTAATTATAAAAATCGATAAATTCTACTTTAATATAAAAATTAATGAGACATACAAAGATTTACATTTAAATCAAAACATATATTACTTGTTTTAAAATACACATCTAGAGGTAATGGTTCAAATCCAAAGCTATATAACATATTCATTTTTTTTTTTTTTTTGAAAAGAAAATTTTAAAACATATTGTAAAATTGTTACATAGGCCATTTTTTTCCTTGGTTAAATATTAATTTTTATTTAATAACTTCTTTTTGTTTCAACTTGTTCCTAAAATGTTTGTTAAAATTTAAATAATGGATTTTTTCTCATATTACATAAAAAATACTTAATTACATCTTAATCAAAAATAAGTAAAATTTATAATAATAATAGAAAAAAACAGGCTAGGCTATTTACATAATTTCAAACATGATAGTTTATTTATGCTGGTGCATGATTGGCGTTCTATCCAGTGCTTTGTCCCGAATTGGGGCTCACGCAGGTGGTATCATTGAACCGGAGACACTTCCAAAACAAAGAAAAGAAAAGTTCTTACATAAATTATTGACTTTGAAATATTAATAAGTGTTAGGTAGGACATGGAAGCTTTAGGCAATACATGTTAAAGAAAAAAAAATTAAAAACCAATAATACATGTATATTTGAAAATTAAGTAAGAAATATTTTGGACCCTTTAATATTACAAAAAGAGTATCAAGTGTAATAGTTTATATAATACATTTTTATATACAATTAATAAAACTAATACCTCAGGATTCAAGTAACAATTTCAAACAAATAAAAAAAGTTTGAAAATATGGATGTTTAATTTTATATTTGTTAAGAATTACTCCCACCAAAATTATATAAGAAATAATGTAGTTATAATTTTACCAATTGAATTACACAAGAATAGTTTTTAGCTATATACATAAGTATGAAAATTAATTCAATAACACAAGGCATGCATTAATAATGGAGTTGATAGATTAATCTACATGTACACTAGCACACAAGAAATTTAAGTTTGGTTATAAGAGATAACATTTCTATTGCTTAAACATTCCTTTTAACTGTACAAATTATCTTAAATATAGAAACATAAGCAAAAATAATAATAGCTCTTATCCCCATGCAGATTGAGGGTGCAAAATTGTGAAAATAAATGCAACATTGTGTCATTTAACATAATGACATTTTAAATATTTATGTTTTCATAGATAGTATAAAAAATAATAAAAATTAGCTTTAACTTTTCAAAAAATGGTAGTTTAAAAAAATGTTAGCTGATGTTACAAGAAAAATATGTTGGAAATTTGTTAAAATTAAGTTTGATGGCGATTGCGTCTGGTCACAGATACTGACTTGGTTTGCAAAGGCTGAGTAACAGATGGTGAATCAGAAGTTGCCATTGCTGAACTCCGAGTTTGTGTTCTGACTGGTCGTGCTGAACCAGGATCTGCACTATAACGCAATCTTGATTGTAATGGTTGAATTACACCGCCTATTAAAATTAAATTGTTACTATAATAATTTTTATTTTACACTAAGTTTTTTTATATTTCAACATTTTACCTGAACAATTATCCATTGGTACCAAAGGAACTTTGGATAAAAAATTTTTTATCCCACTTTGATCTGCTTGAATAGCTCGACTAGTAAGTGGTACAACGTTAGTAGCGGGAGAGCTACCGTCTTGCATTGCACGTCTACTATCTTGGTGCGACGCATTTTTTTGATCATCAGATCCACTATATCGAGCACCATTAGCTCCCTAAAATAGTATTAATAATTAATATTTGAGAAAATAACTAATAGAATAATAATAAATACTAAATACTCACAAATTTAAGCATGTTCCAATCAAAAATATAGTCGTATGTAAAACCTTGACGGTGAAACAATTGCCTAAATAGTTGCCTTAAATAGGTAAAATCCGGTTTTTCAGTAAATCTTAATGCACGACAATACAACAAATATGTTAAAAACTCATCTGATACAAAAAAAATATTAAATTAATAACAGTTTAATAGTGGTAATTTTTAAATTTTTACTTGGATATCCTTTGCATAAATCCTCAAATGAGGTCACAATTTTTTTCTCACTGATACGCTCATATTTTTGTCGCTTGGTGGCTGCTTTTAAACCTTGCCATGGCAATGAACCACGGTTAAAATACATTAACACATAACCAAGAGACTCTAAATCATCTCTTCGACTTTGTTCTAAACATTATTAAAAGTAACAATTAATACAAGTTGAATTAAAAAAAATTCAATAATAACAATTTACCTATTCCTAAATGTGTATTAATGGAAGCGTAACGAGCAGTTCCAGTGAGATTTTTGTTCTCCCTATACATTATATGTTCATTAGTTCGACTATCACAATATTTCTTGGCAAGACCAAAATCTATAATGTACACCAAATTGCCACGTTTACCCAAACCCATAAGAAAATTGTCTGGCTTGATATCCCTGTGTATGAAGTTTTTACTATGTATATATTCTATTCTATCCAGCTAAAAAATAAAATAATATTATTAGGAATTGTTATTTAAATTAATATAAATGCAAACTGCACATAAAATATTAACACAAATAGTAACATTTTCAACCACTTATACAATAAGTTAAACAAATAAATAATCAAATAGTAGAAATAAAAAATTAATTTTCTAATTTTGAAGCCAATTATATACTTAATACTAAGATTTAAACAGTCTTGTAAAAAATACTTTTAAATATTATTATAAAAATGTATTTTACGAATACTCATAAAGTATTTGAATACAAATACAAGTATTTTTTTTAAATTTTATGCTATATAATATATATGCAGTGGTTGAAATGGCTCAAGATAAATGGAGAGATACCTTATAATTCAGATTTCCTGATATCATAACATTCTTCACACCTTGTGTACCTTAAATATATTTTTTTTTTTTATAGTTCACATAAGGTATATTATTTTAGTCTGTGGCTATAAACACAGGTATAATACGGGTTGCGAAATGATTTATACTTAACAACATGATAAGTTGGGCACCTGGGTCTGAACGTTAAAAACAATTATTTTCAACGAAAAAAATAATTTCTTATGTATAAATATAAAAATGATAATAAGTATATCATTTTAAAATACAAGTCTTAGGAGAAATGCATTATTCTAGGCAAAACAAGTAGAGGGATGAAAACTGTAAATCCACAAAAGTAGAGAGATGCCATCTCTCTGTATCCCCCCTACTTCGAGCACTGTATGTATATCGTACACCAGTATAGGTACCTATTATGTTACTACTTTCTATAGGTTTTAACAATCACTATAACATGTCTGACTATTTAGAGATAAATACATGTTCATATATTTCATTCTGTATTCAAATATATTTCAACTAATATTGATTAAATTTTAATGAAAAAAATAAAATAAAAAGTGGTATCAACTTACTATTAATATGGAATTATTTTAAAATTATTAGATTTTCAGTTTTCTTAAAAAATTCTAATACAGAAACTATATAAAATTTAAAGTGGTATTTACTGTAGTAACATTGTTAATACCTACTTTTACTATACAAAAACATAATATTAATTTTTAACAAAAACAATATTATTTTTATCAATGTCAATTTTTTTTTGAAAGATAATAAATTAAAATTAATAAAACGGACTTTATGATATTTTAATTTAAGTATTTAAATTTTGATAAAAATACAATTAAAAAGTATTCAAAATACTTAAAAAATACATAAAAAAATTGTATCTAGAGTACCATATAAATATTTCAAAAAGTATTTAAATACAAGTATTCAAATACTTTATAAGACTGGATTTAAATAAACAGCAAATTGAAAATTAAAATATTATATAATATAAAAAAAATGTACATATATTACAATATTAAATTAAAATCTTGACCAAAATTGAATTATTTAATATTATAATAAATTAATCTATAAGTAAAAATATATGAATAAGAATGAGTAAAAGAAGAAATTTTAATAAATTTGTTAAAAACAAATTAATAAAAAGCATTAAGCTACAATAGGCTAACATTTGTTTACATCAAAAACATAACAATAAATCCTCAACATAAAATATCCTTGTACATTATTTTAATTTGTCGTTAAATCATAAAATAATTACCAATTGGTCAGCTAACAGTAGTACAGTTTTTATAGAAAATCTTCTGGAACAAAAATTGAAAAGGTCCTCTAATGATGGACCTAGTAATTCCATGACCATTACATTGTAATCGCCCTCGGAACCACACCATTTTATTATAGGTATTCCAGCTAAAATGTAAGAAATTTAAATAAATCTAGTCACTGAAATGAAAATATAAATTTATTTTTAACTTACGTGCTCTTAAGAGCATTTTGTAAATTTTGGATTCTATGTGCAGCTGTGGATGCCGCGTTTTTATACATTCTAATTTTATGGCTACTTCTTCTCCTGTAGAAATATTTGTACCTATACATATAAAAATAAAATTCAAATATGAATTAATTCTCTAATAATTACTACCATTACATAATTAAATAATTGTTGTCATTTAATTAATCAAGAAATATTAATGTTTCATATTTCATGTATATTACAGTTGAGTATTATTGTTAAATTTATATTTAATACAATACACTTAAAAGACCTCTATGTAGTGTATATATATCATCAAAAAATATTTTTATGCAATGATTTTTTTTTTTTTTTGATTATCTGTAACTATTTAATTTAACAATGAAATAAAATATTTTATGTATACTAATGTTGGTTAAAAATATCAAAATATAATATTAATTAATATATGTAATAATAAATAACCAATTTCAAAAGATACAATCATTTTTTTTAGAAAGGATTAAATTTATTAAATTATTTAGAAAAGCTGAAAAAATAAAAAATATAAAAATATTTATTAATTATTATTATCAAATTTCAATTTATAATCATATATTTTGATTGATAGTAAACTTTTAAATTTTTTTGGGTTTTGATTTATTTTTAATCAATATTTTTCAATAAATGTAATAAATTTTAATATTTTTAATCATAGGAGATTTGTTTTTAATATAATTTTATCAATCATTCATTAAATATAATTTAAAAGGTATTATAATACAGTTATTTTTGAAGAAAAAATAGATTAACAAACAAACAATTAAATAATTGATTTTCATCACCAATTTAATGTATTTAATACATTTAGATTCAAAGTAGACTTTATATTTATAAGATGTTGATAATAAGTGATAATTGTAATAAATTATTTATTAAAATATTTTACTTTAATATTTGTTGATATAAATAAAAAATATATTTAGATAATCAATCATTAAATGATTTTGAAATCAATCTTCAGCATGATATATGATTAATGTATAAATTAATATGGTCAAATGACTGTTTTTACATTTAATATGGTAGTTATTCGCATTTTTAAAACATTTTTGAATAATTATGTTACTTAATTTAACAATTATTAATAATCATGTTGAAAGAAAAAATATTTATCATTTTATTAATTTGTTCATTTAATTTAGAAATATAATTGTTGAAATGTAATACTTTAATGTCAAAATTACATTAATACAATAAAACCTCGATAAGACGGAATCGCTTGGGACCATGACATTTTCTGTGTTAACGGGGTTTCCGTCTTGACGGGATTAGTTAATTATATGTAATTTGAAACGGGACCAAAAAAATGTTCCGTAATGCCAGGGTTTCCGTCTTACCGAAGTTCCATCTTATCGAGGTTTTACTGTAATAAAAAAAATATTAATTTAATTTGTTTACTTTGGATCCAAAAACAATTATCAAAACTACTTTTATTTAGATAAAATATAACTTACATTAATGAAACATTTTTAATATTTATAAACAGATTTTACTGTAGATGGATAATTTTTATGTACTTATTACATAACAACAAAATGTAACATTTCAGTACCAAAAATTTGTTAACGATTACTAAAATAGTAAGTGATAAAATAAGAAGCAAGTGTTTGAATGCCATAGAGCTAATTGACAACAATCAAATTGCTTCAACTTGATGAAATCAAGAAGGTATATAATTACATAAACATTTCAATTCTTTAGTTGATATAAAATAATTTAAATTAAATATTTAAAATTAAAGTTAATAATTATATTTAATAATTATATTCCAAGTAATTCATTTCGTTTGATGATCTTTGTATAAGAAATATTGTTAATTGAAAATATAAATAAATATAACACTTTGGTAATTAAATTAATGTTAACCTAACTAGTTGATAATAAACAAACCATAGTTAAATTTGTTTGATTTTTTTTTTTTTTATAATAATGTATTGTAAATGATTAAGTGGTTTTTTTTATTTAATAGTCGGTTTAAGATAGGTACATTTAATTTTGCGAACAGAATACCATGTGGGAAGACCTAATGTAATAAACGATGATATAGGGGTATACAAGAGATAGATGAATATGGTAAAATAGTTAATTATAAACTTCCCTAAAAATAGTTTGCTACTGAATTACACGTATGTAAACATAGTAAACTCCCCTGAAATATATTGCTGTTAAATTTATGCTAATTTTATTAGGTATTTATATATTTATATTAGAACCATTTGGTGTTATCCAGTGAACACTATTCAGAGAAGATTCTGTTATTCTCCAAAAATTGTTTTTTCTAATATTTGTATTTTTCATTTATATATTTGTACCTATATCATCATATTACTTTATATTATAATCGTCAATAGTTCATGTTGATTTTGTGATATTAATGTTTGAATGAGTAATAATGTGAAACTGATTTAATATATAGGAATTTGGTAATTATTTGTTATTTATAATTTTTTATTAGCTGATTTAATCATTAATATCATCTTTGTAATTTATTATTTTTTATGTAAATTTCTGTTTGAATATTTTTTAATATATCAGAAAATATAAAAACATTGGGAAAACAATGGTTAAAATTTGTAATAAAATGAACATGAAATGATTCACAAGCATTCATCGTTTTTGTCAATCCGGAATAAACTTCTGTCCAGTCGTAAAAAAGTGCAAGTTCAGTAACATTTTTTAAATAATCATAAAATACATCCAGGCGTTTGTCATCTGGCTTAGCATTGCACAATTCAGTGTACAAAAACAGTTTTAAACGACTTCTAGATTTAAATACATCAAGCCAAAGCAGTAATGTATAGCTACTTACCATAACGCCAAACAGTTCAAATACAAATATATATATATATATATATATGTCCAATAAAATATAATATAATTCGGCAGCAATATAATGTTTTGGGGAGTTCACACAGGTCCGGGAAGACAGTGAACGCACGCAAAAACGGAGGAGGACGAGTTCTAGAAAGTCATTCCGGAGCGTGTCAGGTCCGAAAGCGCACGGACATGCAGAACCTAGAGTACAGTCATTGGCACGAAGGTATCGAAAGTTCGTAGGACCGGTCCACGCAGCGAGCCGGGGGAGGGGTACATCCGAAAGCAATCACTCACCTAGGTAGATGTCGCCAAACGATCCGCTGCCGATTTTCCGTCCAAGTCGGTACTTATTACCAACCCTTAGTTCCATCGCTCGTCGATCATCTAATACACCTGAAACGTGGTGCTAAGTGGCTGTGTCGGCTGCGACGGAGCGGAATTCTGCGGTTGCGGTGACGGGGGCGCGCACGCAGTGAACCTCGCGGTGGCTGGCGGTCAACGACGGCACGCGGACGGCGAAGACGTGGTGACGACGGTGAAAGAACGCGAGGAGACGGCGGCGGTCGTCATTGTTCAGCGCAATATCCAGCGACGGTGCGGCGACGACGGATCTCAGCGGCCATGTTGATTGTTGATTATTTATTGACTTGTCTTCCGATCGCGCTCGAGTGTGACAAAAGAGTTGCGAGAAGGAGAAGGAGGAGCTCAGTCGCTGGCTCGCTCACTCTAACCACAGCGACCACCCGTCTCACTCAATCTCTCTCGCTCGCTCCTACATCAATTCGGTTTCTCCCTCCCACCAATTTTTGACCCTCTCTCTCACGCCCGTCCGTCCGGTCTCCGTCCGTCCGCGCCGTCGCCACCCGCCCGTCCGCTCAATCAACTCTCAATCGGATCTCTTTCTCAATCTCTCTCTCGCGCTCTCTCTCTCTCTACTTGTAAATTCGTTATCACTCCTCGCGCGCAGTCGTGCAACACAACGCGCGCTGCTGCCGGCGCAACACTGTCATCAGCTGTTTCCGCGGGCCACCTTTTCCCCCATCTTTAAACTCTTTTTAAACTCGCTCGGATGATAACAACGGGCCGCATAACTCGATCGTCGTCCACGATTTACATAGATTTTGTTTAATTATCGTTACGAATTAACACCACGTTTTGTCGGTCGTGAGGCACCCCCCTTTCGCCCCGCAACCGCTGATCAATCGTCAACACTCGGCGAAACGTCTGATAACGGACGAACGCCATTTTCGACGTATTTGAATTAAAACGCGTCGAATTGCCGACCAAACCAAATACGACGTATATTATCTTATATAATTATACGGAATACAGTCAATGATGATAGTTAAACGAACAAATAGGCGACTGAATGATAAAACTACTAGTAAATCGATAAAAAGTTAACTGGTAACTAGAAGTTCGGTATAACAGTTGGGCAGTTTTTGGAGTTATGAAAGTTGCTGTTACTTCATCATGACGGATGTTCTGATTTTCCAGTCACTTAATTGCGTTTTCTCTTTCATCCGCATACATTTTGTTAGAGAACTGCAGGTCCATATGCCTCATTGTTTGGGTATTATATTCATGGCCACGTTACTCTTGTACACAGTGGCGTAGCCAGGGGGGGTTTGGGTGTTTTAACCCCCCCCCCCCCCATTAGTTTTTATTTAATATTTTTTTTTTTTATTATTCAATTCCCTGTATGCACGGCGTCGTTGATAGTTGACCGTGGTAGACAATCGGTGTTGACCAATTATAGAACAATAAATTACTCATTTTGTGTTGTTCCTCCGTGGCTGATAACGATGCATATGTTACAGCTAGTGTCCGAAGGACAGCTAATCTTAAGTTTAGACAATGCTTTTGGCTAATGTCAAAATTTCGGATTTTAGCCACCAAAAACAAATGGATAATCTTAACATTAGCCAATAAAACCAACATTATCCAACCGTTATCGGCTAATGACTAAATAACATTAGACAGGTAAATTTAAAATTTAAAACTATTTACAGTAATAATACAATATTTTGAAATTATAATTTTTTATGAATATGTTGGCATAGGCGTGCGCAGACCTCTTTTCCAGGGTATGCAAAAGGCTGCCACTGCTTACTCCCCCCTAAAACTGAAAGTTAATTTAAGCGTTCGAAATATTGGGCTTAATAACTATTTAATTTAAAATTTAAATTTTTTTTCCTGAAAAAAATGACCATTTCTTAAACGTTATAACTGTCTTCATAATTAAAATTTAAAATAAAATAAGAAAAAATAAAATTAAATACATAACACTTGAAATGGTTTGAGTAATACATTTAAATAAGGTAAATAAATAAAAACGTAATTATATGCTAAAATGAAAAACAAAATAAATTTGATAAATAATCAAAATTAATCATAAAACGATTCTGCGTACAGTTGAGTTCTTAATATCACCAATAATATTTTCGGGATTTTAATTATAATCGATATTATAGCATATGATTTGCGTTTCAAATATAAATTAAACTGTCTGGGACTGAATATAAAAATATAATAAAAATCATAATGTAATACAAAATCACATAATATACATAAGACCGAATATGTCATAATTTTTATTTATTTTTTGTAATTTTAGAAAGAAGGCTCTATGTTTAGGGTATGCAGTTGCATACCCGGCATACCCCCTGCGCACACCTATGTATGTTGGGTAGTTGTATAGAGTTGAGGCATGCACGTGGTAAGTAAAATATTTTCAACAATATAAATATTGTACACAGTTGTGTGCATTTTGATATTATTTTAAAACTGATATTGATTGCAAAATGCATATAGAATGATGGAGAAAGTCCGTAATAATCTACCATAATTACACCGACTCAAGTTTTAAGTAGTTAAGATACCAGCTTGTAGTACTTTGTAGGTGTATCTTGTTTTCAAGCCTGGAAGTTACTAAGTAAAAATTAAGTTAAATTAACTTATTAACATAACTTATTTCATTACTAATGTTCACGAGTAATGTACACTCGTGAAGTAACGCACGCGGCACGACGACTTGTTCCTTATCTGTTTCTTTCCCACGTTGTATACTTGTGAGTTTTAATATCAATTAAAATTAAAATTATTGTCTGTTAGAAACGTTGTTATGTAACGCTGAAAATTATTATCATTATATTCATATTATTATTATTTTAACTCACTGTGTTGTCGTTTTTCTTTTTGGTCGCATTTGTTGCACCCAGACGCGTATACAAAAAAATATTTTGAGAGGGGTTTTAGGTTGTACATTTTTATAACAATATAATCTTTATACCAATTTTACGATTTAAAAACATATTTAATCATTTTCCTGAATTTCGGGAGGGGTTTGAATCCCTAACCCCCCCCCCCCCCTTATGTACGAGCCTGATTGCACCACATATTTAATGTATAATATTGTTTTTTTTTCTCTGTCGTTTGTCGGTCGTTATTGTGACACCACGTACCTTTTCGTTTTTTTTCTCTTGTCATTTATACATTTTGTATTATTCATATTAAATGAATTAGTTCTTATTATTATTATATTATTATTGTCACTGGCCATCGCTGTACAAATCAATTTTTGTCGATTATTTTCAATTCATGTTACCAATTAACTAATTTGATTACCAAACACCTGTCGTGAATTACCACCATCACCAATATATGTTTGATCTCTAATTTGTACATGTCAATATTATCGTCGTGTGTGTTGTGTTGTTCAATTCCTGTTCCAGCAGTCCATCGTGAATTTGGCGAAACCCATTTGCGCCCCAAATCATAGCCCATATGCGCCCGATGCAGATCAGGTGAAAATCGTTTAACGTTGCCATTTATTGAGTATATTGGCGTGTAACTATAAAATCTAAAATAATATTTGATCATTTCCCAAGCTAATCGAAACCAATATCCATATCGATAAATATAATAATATTTTGTCGTTGTTGTGCTAATCGAAATTGTAAAATCCCAATCGATAACGATTATATTATATAAAAATTATCAGTCAGTTGCATTAGTACATGAATAGTGAGTACTACTATAATAAAATGGATTTTATATAACTGTTTCAAGTAAACAAAAACTTTGTTTAATTTTTCGTTATTTTAAATATCACATGAGTAGAACCCTGGTTTCTGGAGATATAAGTTGGCGTTGTGTAAAAAAAACCTGTAGTGCGTATGTCAAAACCAATAGTTCAAAAATGAAGTTAACCGAAATTAAAGACAATCATACCCATGATCCGGAAACTGAAGTAAGTTTAAACTTACTGGACGTTCAAGGTAGGTATAAAAGAAAAGCGTGTAAAGATTTAACTTTACGACTTAATAAAATAATACGTACAGAGCTTTCCACATGCAGCATCGTTAAGCATTCTGATGTGCATAATATCAGAAAGTCTATATACCGAGAACGTCGAAAAATATTACCCCCAGTTCCTAAATCACTAAACGAAGCAATTGAACAGGTTTCTAATTTAGTAATTTTAACAAATAAAAACTAAGAGTTTGCATATGTTGATAATGTAAATAATATTATTTTGATTACATGCAAAACGAATTTAAATTTTTTATGCAATTTCAACTTATATGCTGATATTTTGGTGATGGTACTTTTACTTATAGACCATCACATTTTTATCAAATGTATGGTATTCATATATATGTAAATGGATTTTATATAACACTTGTTATTACATTTTTGCCATCAAAATCATTTGAATGTTATCGAGCTATGTGGAACTTTATTTGCCATTTATGTACAAATAAAATACAAACAAATTTTACACCTTCATCAATCCATTTAGATTTTGAAATCGCAGCACACAAAGCATTTCTAAATGTATTTCCATACAGCAAAATAAAAGGCTTTAGATTTCATTCAGGTCAATCTTGGTACCGAAAAATAAATTCTTTGTCAGATCTTAAAAATTGTACAAGAATCAGTCATGTGATATCGCTAAATGGTTAACATTATTTTTTGGATTACCATTTTTACTGTCAAATTAAGTGGAAGATGCTTATTTTGATTTACAAAACTTAACTCCAGATTTCAATTTGACAAATTTATCCAAATTTTCTGATTATGTGTTTAGTAACTATATCATTGAAGGATGTCCATTTCCACCATCAATTTGGGCTGAACCTCCAACAGACGCACCTCGCACTACAAATTGCGCTGAATCATTTCACAAGCACTTTAACTTCCAATTTTATTCACCTCATTCTCCATTAACTAGTGTAATTGAAAGTTTAAAATTAATACAAGTAGAATCATATCTAAAAAGAAATAAAATCAAGAAGGGTAAAATAAAATCACGACGTAAAAAGGAAAAATAAAAAATAGAATTTATTTACGAAGCCTGAAATGAGTACAGAAGAAAACACTTAAATAAAATAGAATACTTAAAAAAAATTTCGTATTCATTTCAGGGAATTGATTTATAATTGTATTATTTTTGTTTTTTGTATTAACATTCTTATTATTGATCAATGTATATTATTAATTTTGATTATTTTTGATGTAGGATTTTACATTTTTAAACAATCTTAAACAACAACTGACAACTAATGTGTATTATTTATTTTGGTTTATTTTGGTTCTATATAAATTTATTTTATATATTATTAATAATATTTAAATTAATTATTTTGATTTTACGTAAAAATATTTCTATTTGAAATTTATAATTTAATGCAATATAAATAATATTTATATATATATATAATATGCATACTGTGTAGTATTTAACATTATTTTTAAAATTATTACTTTTTATTAATTTTGATTTTACGTAGGATTTTATATTTTCAAATAACAAAGGCAAC